AGCTTAAAACAGCAAAAGCAATCTCTTGCTCGTAAGAACAGATTGCTTTTGTAGATTGTAAAAAGGATGTGAGGGCTGCAGTGGGCACCTTCGTGTCTGTATTATTTATTAAGATCCAGCCATGCAATAATGCCGCCGGTCAGGTTCTTTACATTGGTAAAACCCATGGTCTCCAGGGTCATGCCCGCCTGCATACTGCGTTTGCCGGAGCGGCATTGCATAATTACTTCTTCTTCCTTCAGGTCTTCCAGTTCATCGGCCTGGAAAGACAGGATTTTCCCGAGCGGAACCAGTTTGCCGCCCATGTTCACTTCCGCATATTCATTGGGTTCACGCACATCGATAATGTTTAGCTTTTCGCCGGCGTCAAGGCGTTGTTTTACTTCAGCAGCAGTAATTTCTTGCATGTCGTTTATTTTTTAATTATTTTTTTAGGAGTACTCCAATAACCCTGGGCTCTTAATCTTACCAGATATATGCCTGAAGGTAAGGAAGATATATTTATAGTGGTACCGGTAAGTGAGCCTTGTGCCATTTCCCGGCCTGAAAGATCGGTAATTGAATAATGGTCTGCCAGTGAGTTAGCCGCCTGAAGTAGCTGTACCTGATCGCTGGCCGGATTAGGATAAACACTCCAGTTGCTAAATGGTTTTACGGATACCGCCTCTTCCACACCCGTGCCGGTGACCGGGCCGCCCAGTAAAGGACGGATCATTAAGGCGCCGCTTACGGTAGAAGATGACCAGCTATTCAATACACTGAAGTAAACGTGATTGCTACCTACCCGGTTTACATCAAGGCCAATGTACAGGCTATCGCTGCCACTGTTTGCCGGAAGTGTATAACCCACATAAAAAGTGCCTGCACTGATAATGGCCGGGCGACTGAACTTATAAATGGTAAACTTGTTGATGGAGTCGGTGTAAAGGGGTAACAGGTTGTCTACCGAAGTGATAATAGAGTCCCTTGTAGCGCCGGATATGCCAGCTATGGTGCGGTAGGCAACGATGGACATGATCTTTCCTACGGCAGTTGGTACCTGCTGGCCAAAGTAAATAGCTAGTCCCTGCAAGGTATCCGGTTGGTTGAGGCGATGCTCCACAGCTACTTTGCCTGGCAG